TAAAAGTCTCATAAGGCAGGACAGTTTGCCATCTGCCTCCTTGACAGATCAGAATCTCCACAATAAAAACTTTTGTCTTTCTCTCCAACATAATGTGTTTCTCCCCAGCAGTGCTCTAACAGAACATTAGGCATGGAGAAGCTCAACAAATTGAAAATAAAGATCTGTTTACAGTGATGTTATATTTTTATGGCGTTTAAGGTCTAAAATCAGGAACAAAATTAAAAAATGTGTTGTAGGAGTGCCTGGGCGGCTCAGTCAGTTCAGCGCTCGACCTCGGCTCAGGTCATGATCTTGTGGTTCACGAGTTCCATCCTGTGTCGGGCTCCGTACTGACAGTTCGGAGCCTGGATCCTGCTTCAGATTCTGTGTCTCCCTCTCTATCTGCCCCTCCCCTGCTTGTGCTCTCTCTCTCTCAAAAATAAACATTGTTTTTTAAAAAATAGTTTATTGTCAAGTTGGTTTCCATATAACACCCAGTGCTCATCCCCACAAGTGCCCTCCTCCGTGCCATCACCCCCCCTTCCCCTCCCCCCACCCCATGTGCCCTCAGTTTGTTCTCGTCATTAAAAAACTTTTTTTAATAAAAAATTTGTATTCTAAATTATTCTATAAAATAAATGATTCACAAAGCATATAACAGATTGATTCTCCACACTGAAGAAGAATAATATTTGTGGTATATCAGAAGTATGCCATAAATATGAATATATAATGAAGGCCATATACAAAATGTAATTTCATGTTTCATATTTATATGAAAGAGTAATACACATATTAATTATATGAAAGAATAATATATACCTTACAGTAAATATGCATATGATTGTTGGAAAATAGGGGATTCCTATGGTCCTGAGTTACCAGCTCTCAAGTTACTTACCAATTAGAAAGGAAAAAATATAACTTTATAATGGAGATATCTGGCCATTACCACCTTAATCAAGTGATCAAATTTAGCATCACTAATAGTGAAATGACATAACCTCACGTTTCCCCTGATGTGATACAGCAATAGGACACAATATTGTCTATGTAGTGTCCTTACCATATGTGTTTTACTTAGATTTTTACCATGAGGAAATAACTAGACAATCCAGAATGTAAGACATTCTTTAGAACAAATAACCTAGATTCTTTAAAAAAAAAATCAATATCTAGGGGCATCTGGGTGGCTCAGTCAGTTAGGCATTTGACTTTGGCTCAGGTCATGATCTCATGGTTTGTGAGTTCAAGCCCCATGTCAGGCTCTGTGCTCCATGTCTTGGAGCCTGGAGCTGCTTGGGATTCTGTGTCTCCCTCTCTCTCTTTGCCCCTCGTCTGCTCTCTGTATCTCTCTTAAAAAAAATCAATGTCTAGGGAAAACAAAAAAGTGGAGAGACTATTCTAGATTAAGAGACTAGAGACAACATAAGAGACTAGAGACATAACACCAAATGCAATGCCTGAACTTTGTGTCCTACTTAAAGAAAAGCCTATACGAGACATTTTGGGGACATTTGAGGGAAATTTAAATATAGTGAATTGTGGAATTGTTCATTTCTGGGGTCTGATCATGGTGTTGTAGTTAAGAGTTAAATGGAATGTACTACTGTGTCTCCTGATGTGTTAAACACTGTTCTGTGGTACATAGTGATATATATGTGAGACACTGTGTTTACTGGTCTGTGGTAAGAAAATGTCCTTGTTTTTAGCAGATATATACTGACATATTTAGTAGTGAATTATGTTACTTGAATTTATTTTCAAATGGTAGAGAGATTATTAAAAGTGGTTAAGTGGTTAACAATTGGTGAATCCAGAGGATAGGGGTGTATAAGAGTCCTTTATACTATTCTTTCAATGCTTCTGGAAATTTGAAAAATTTCAAAATAAACAGTTGAAAACAATGTATGCACTTTATCATATGGAAGAAATAAATGTGGGAGGGCACAGGGAAACTAGGGAACCAGTTCGTCAACCTATTTCTGTAAAAGAAGCTTCAGAAGGAATGCAGGATATCCTGGTTTGGGCAGGAGGGGGTGTATCTAAGGAAGTAAGGCAGGAGGACTAATTTATCAAGAACATGGCTTTCTGATGACTTACAGGTCAGTCCATCTCCTCCTAGTCTGAGGGAAGATTTCCTCACCCAGAGACTGGGATCAGAAGTCTTAAATGGATATAATGGGCTAAAATAAAGCTGTTGGCAGAGCTGCATTTCTTCTGTAGGCTCTAAGGGAGAATCTATTTCCTTGCCTTTTCCAGCTTCTAGAACTTGCCTGTATTCCTTGGCTCATGGTCCTTTACTCCATCTTCGTTGCACATCATTCCAAGTTCTTCTGTTTTCTCATTTCTTTTCTGGCTCTCACTCTCCTGCCTTCCTCTCGAAGAACTTTTGTGATTACATTGAATCTACTCAGATAATCCAGACTAATCTTCTCATTTCAAAACATATCTGCTAATTTAAATATATCTGCTAAGTTTCATTCACCTTGTAAAATAACATAGTCATTCACAGGTTCTGGGGATTAAGACTTGGACATCTTGGGTGGGGACATTATTCTAACACATTATCTTCTTGGCATGAATTGATATATGTATTTTTTCTTTAATTTGTTCATACAATGCATTTTGTCATTAGATTTTTTTTAATGTTCTTCCAACATCAGTAAATCTATTGACATAATCCCTGTACAAATTTTACAGTACATGTTGATATCAGCCTTTTATTTGGAATTTTTGCATCTATGATCGCAAATGTTGAAGTAATTAAACAAGGATGCCATTAGACTGAGGTAGTTTTAATGCCCTGGTAGCTTACCAAAGCAAACCAAAACCTAACTCCAAATCAATGCACCCTTATCAGAGAAAATAAAACTTTAGAACAATCTATAACAAACAACCAAGTTAGTTTTGCCAAACAAGACAACTGCTTATGCCATAGCTAATCAAATAATTTCCTTGCTGTGTTTCAGTCTTTTCTATAAAAACCTCTCCACTAGCCCTTGTTGGTAGAGTACTCCTAACACTTTCAGTCTGATTCTGCCTGATGGAAACCCATGTACACTCAAACTCTTGAAAATTTAGAATGCCTCCCAAGTGAAACTAATCAATTCTTTTCTTTTGGCCTGTCTTGATCAGGTTTTATGCTAGTTCAACAAAACTAATTAGAGAGCATTCCATCTTTTCCTGGCATCTGAATAAAGTGAAAAATCATTATTCAAAAAGTAGCTAAAACTCAGCTATAGCCATCTGGAACCTTTTAACAGCAGAGTTTTAAAGATATACTTAAATTTTATTATGGCTATTCTATTCAGGTTTTCTACTTCTTAGTAGAAATTAGTAATTTCAATTTCACTGGAAAATCTACAATGACCGCAACTGTGGTTATGGAGTTGCTCATAACAGCTTCAAAATTCCTTTAAATCCTTTGTCTATGGTTTTAACTTTTCTCCTTTCTAATGTTCCAGTTTTGTTTTGTTGGCATTTATCAATATTGTATCTCATTTATCATTTAGAACCAAACTCTGCATTTTAAAAATCTGGCCCACTTTTTTGTTTTCTAGTTCATCAATTTCAGAGTCTATGCTTATTCTTTTTTTTTTTAAGGGTTTTTTTTTTTTGAGTTTATTTATTTCTGAGGCAGAGAGAGACAGAGCATGAGCGGGGGAAGGGCAACGAGAGAGGGAGACACAGAATCTGAAACAGGCTCCAGGCTCTGATCTGTCAGCACAGAACCCGATGCGGGGCTCCAATCCAGGAACCGTGAGATCATGACCTGAGCTGAAGTCGGACGCTTAACCGACTGAGCCACCCAGGCGCCCCTATACTTATTCATTTTGTATTTAACAAAATTGAACAAGTAATGTTTCATAAGGACAAGATAATGGCCAAAATATAAGGGAATACTCTTAAAAGAAAAAAAAAATTATTGAGGTGCCTGGGTGGTTCAGTGGGTTAAGCATCTGACCTCAGCTCAGATCATGAGCTCAGCGTCCTTGAATCTGAGACCCGCATCGGGTTCTGTGCTGACAGTTCAGAGCCTGGAGCCTGTTTCAGATTCTGTGTCTCCCTCTCTCTCCCCATCTCCTCCATTCACGCTCTGTCTCTCTCACTCTTAAAAATGAACAAATGTTAAAAAAAAGTTTTTTTTAATCACAATAACACATCCTAGCAATTAACTACCGTTAACAAATGTTAGTGTAACTTTCAAAAGATCTTATGACCCAAGTGCATTTCTACCTATATTTATGTACGTATAAAAAGTCTGAGGGGCACCTGGGTGGCTCAGTCGGTTAAGCGTCTGACTTCAGCTCAGGTCATGATCTCACGGTTTGTGGGTTCGAGCCCCGCATCGGGTTCTGTGCTGACAGCTCAGAGCCTGGAGCCTGTTTCAGATTCTGTGTCTCCTTCTCTCTCTGCCCCTCCCCCACTCATGCTCTGTCTCTCAAAAATAAATGTTAAAAAAGATTTTTTAAAAAGTTTGAAAACACTAATATATGGCATATAGAGTTCAGTACTGGTGTCCCATGATTTCTACTCCAGAGTTAGGCTTATCCTTCATCCTCCCGGTGGCCCTTCTTTGACCCCCGCAGCCTGGGTTCAAGCCTGCTACCTTTCATTCAGGGTCTCCTCCGCCACATTCCCAGCCCGTTAGGCCGGGACTACATTTCCCAGACGTCTGACTGACTAGCCGGTCCCGCGGCGCCTCTGAGGCCCCGCGGAATTGGTTTGAAGAGACCGGACACTTGGCTCCTGGGTAATGGCGGTACTGACGCAGGCAGGACTGCGCTTTTTCGCGGTCTCGCGGACTGGGGAATGACTTCTCAGCCGAAACTTGAGCACTCATACTCGACCAGGAAGGATCGTGGGGCGGGCTGAACAACCCAGATCCGGGAGAATTCCTAGTTCATGGCGTGTCGGGGAGTCCTGTACTCCCGATCCCGCTCTGAGAGCGCGGCTCCTTGTGGAAAGGGCTCTGGACTGTCAGCTTCCCGGCTTTTAACTACAGTTCTGAGAGGCCTCTCGGCATGTCCCAGTTTGAGGCGAGGGCTGTTGCGGTTAACTTTGGGGGCTTGACCAACCCACGCTTCCCCTGGCTGTGGGCTATCTTTCCCAGAAGCCTCCTCGGTCCACAGCCTTTCTTTTCTTTCTTTTTTTTTTTTTTAAAACTTATTCCCACCCTTCAGCACCACCTTATTGCTGCTCGGACCTGTCGGTTCGCCGAGGTCCTTAGAGGATGCTAGGTGAGGCTGGGCTGTCAGTACTGGCCTTCACCGAAGGCTGGAAACACGACGCGACACTGGGCGAAGACAGCTGTGCCAGCCAGGCTCTAGCTGGGATTTTTCCTCCCCTGGACTATATTCCCCTTAGGGCTCCGCGGCATATTCCACTTCCGGTCGAAGTTGGCTTGGCCGGTGGTGAGTTTGCGCGAGTTGGGGTTGAAAGGGTCGGGCGTTGCGGGCGGGCTGGCTGACTCTCTAGTTTGGGGCGGATTCGACCGGCTTGGAATGTGAGGTCCCCGGAAAAGTGGACGCTGAGGAGCTCCCTGGCCGGGCCAGGGTCTGTCCGGAGTCTAAAATACGGGTGGCCGTTGAGCATTTCTAGGCTGTGTCCTCCCGCTTGAAAAGTAAAAGACGTGGCGGAGGTTGGGGAATGTCGACGCCTCTAGTCTTCACTTGGGGGAGGGAGGTATCAGCCGCGCATCTGCACGGGGTGGCGGAGTGGTTTCATGCAGGCGCTGGAGTTGGCTGGCGGTGTCCGGAGGTCAGAGGTGTCGCCGGTGTCTGACTTTCTACCTGGACGGGAAGTATGTGCGATACTCTCCCGAAGTGGATTGTGCGCCCGACCTCTCTGCTCGGCGACCAGTGCCCCCGGGGCCGTGGTTAGTACATTAAGCGAGGCTCTCTAAGGCCCAGTGGGAGAGCCCCATGTGGCCGGACGCATCGCGGACTCTGTCTACGGAGCTAGAACTGGGAAGGGCGTCCTTGTACTTTCTTGGTCGACCTTGAGCGGGGTCCGCTGGTGGATGAGTTCAGCGAGGTGAATGGCTTTCTCCCTGGGGCTATTTCTGGTCTCCCGGGGGTTTCTAGGGCTTGGACCTGGGCGCCCCTCCTTACACTTCTCTGCGCTTTTTCCCCGAGTTCTCAGGGTCTCCGGGCCCATAAGGGTGCCACCAGTCTTAGAGGACAAGAATGTGGGATTCTGACTGGTGGATCCACGTAGGTTGTGTTGTGGAGCTCCAAATACAGGGCCTGAAGAGCCCAGTCAGTCTCCTGTGGAGGAAGGAGGCCACAGTGTTCTCTCCCAGGACTCCCATCTGGGTCCCTAAGGTCGCCTGCTTTCTGTGATGATAGGAGTGGGGATCCCCCAGGCTTCTTTGGTTTTGGGCTCCCTCTCCGTGCCTGGAGTGGGGCCAGGATTTGCTCTGATTTGGCCTCCTCTGGGGTCCAGGGTCTGTTGTCTCATAGTTTCTTAACCCTTGTCCATCGTTTTTGTTCTCTAAGAGTCCAGAAGAGGATAGAAAAGCCACTGTACATCACAAGTCATGGCGGAGGTAAGTTGTATTTGCCATGCTCTTCTTGGAAAGGGCTTCTTGGTTTACAGAACAATATCCTATTTCAGGATTCTATCCAGAAGATTTACAGTAGTGATTTGTAAAAACGGTAAGAAAGAAGGAAACCAAATTTATGGAGCAACTTTTCTTAACCAGAAAAGAATCCAAACGAGGGCTGTCTGCTTTGCATACATTGTCTCATCCATCTAGAATTTCCATTTTCCTGGATTTTATCCATTCCCAGAATAGTTATGACAGATGTGCCTCTCTGATTTGGCAAAGAAGTTAAAGAACAGAATGAGGTTACTCAGTTCCGTCTCAGTAATTTCTTTGTTGTCCACTTCAGGGTCACATGCTGTAACCTATTTACTTCCAAATTTCTAACAGCGTGGAGGCCGGCCTGCCTGCATCAGCTCTGTATACATTTTTCCTCCAAGAAGCAACTAACTTATTGATTGTTAAGCCACTTGTACTTTGAAGTTCTTTACATATGTTATCGTGTTGAATCCACATTAACAACTCTGTGAGACATTAATTCTGTGAGGCATATTTTCCCTTTCCATTTTAACTTACCTGAAATTAGACTAGTTTTACAATTCCTGGACAGTCATAGTTTCATTGATGGAGTTTTTTTCCTTTCCGTTTCCTTTCCATAGTTTTTTTTCCTTTCCTTTCCTGGTATATAAAGTAATGGTGGCTTTACAACCAGTGGCATCTCAAAAGTGATGAAATATGGAATTAACTCTTAAGTTGACAGATGAGGAAGTAGATTCTATTAAGTCACTCCAAAATTACACATTTAACAAATTGTACAACTGGGATCCCTCTACTTTTACCCACTTGTCAAAGGTTGTTATCCTTTTTAGTTTATGTTGGATAAATTTATATATTAAGCATATTCTGTTTCATTTATAAGTTGTTTTAGATATTTTTTCACCGTTAATCTATTCTGTATGTGTTTTACATTCAGAGTTTTCAAAAAATGTTTTAGTCTTTTATGTCACAGCCTTTCTTACTACAAAAATAGAAAAGTCATTCATATTTTTCTATAGTACTTAATTTTTGTCCAATTTAATCTTTTTTTTAAGTTTATTTGAGAGAGAGCTTGAGCAGGGGTGGGGTAGAGAGAAAGAGGGAGAGAAATCCCAAGTAGGCTGTGTGCTACTAGCACAGAGCCCAACAGAGGGCTCAAACTCAAAAATTGTGAGATCATGACCTGAGCCAAAATCAGGAGTTGGATGCTTCACTGACCACCCAGGCTTGCCGCCCCCCCCAAACTATTTAATATATAAGCATCTGGTGTGAGATATGACCAGCAAATGTTGGTTGTAAAATTTCTAATTTGGATTGTTTATTTAGATTTTGTCTAGAAATAACCTAATTGCTCTCTTTCTGTGCCTGTGGAGTAGTCAACTTAAAAGAATGGCAGTATTTGTAGTATATTTAGGTTTTTTCCTTGGATGTGTCTGAGTGTGACTTTTCTTCTGGCCAGTCAGTTCTCAAGGATTCCTTTCTCTTGAAAGACTAATAAAATACTCTTTCTTTTTTTTTTTTTTTTAAGTTTATTTATTTATTTTGAGAGAAACTGTGTAAATGGGGGAGGGGCAGAGAGGGAGAGAGAATCCCAAGCAGGCTCTGCACTGCCAGCGAGGAGCCTGATTTGGGGCTTAAACCCATGAACCCTGAGATCATGAGCTGAGCTGATCTTAGGAGTCAGACACTTAACTGACTAAGCCATTCAGGTGCCCCTAAAATACTCTTTCTGTTCTGGATTAATCTATTTCTTCCTTTCTCTGACTTTTCTTCTGAATTCTGTGAGAATTTGTTGAGTTTGTCTTCCCCTTCCCAGAACCTTCCTCAGATTCTCAGAGGAGAAACTATACCCTCCCCATACATTCTTAGCACATTTTGGTAAGGAAGAAACTCCAGCTCCCCTTGCCCTGCAACCTTTGACAGCTGTCTTGTTTCTCCCTCCATCTCCACCTCTCCTCAGTGGTAGATTGTCCTTTCTCTACATGAATGAGAAGCTATGAACTGCTAAAAAGGTAGAGTCTTATTCTCTTTTTGCAGTTTACTAGCTCTGTGACCATGAGTTTCTTCATAACATCCTGTATATAATGTGGTCATTATACAAGGTTTGGAGAATGTGATGGTAATGGAAATTCAATTGAATTTGCACTTGAACTGCCAACCTGGAGTTCTCCTAACTCCCAAATCCCATTGCTTCTGTCCGTTTCCTGTTCCTTGATGTCATGCCTTATAACCTCACACCACTGTCTGCATCCCATATCAGACCTTTGTGTAGGGGTGGATGGTGCATTGTCCTAATTAGACCACCTGGCTCGTCTTTTACTCCTTGCTAATCAAATAGTCCAGGCCTGTTACTATCTTTATTCAGTAAATCTCTGTTTCAGGACAAAGCTGCAACTCTTTATACATTTCATTATACATTTACTGTAAAGCACATTCTATGTTTATTGGAGCACTTATTCTAGTATTGGAGAAGAGCGGTTTAGCTCTGGCAAGGATGACCTGTCATCTAAGACCTTTCTGTCCTGGCCCCTTGGATTTCTCAAGTATCTCTTCTGTCTACCCCTTTCCCAGAATCCCTCACCAGTTACCCCAGTTAACTGTCTTCTCCTCTGACATACAGACTGTATTTAGTTTCTTTCTCTACCTCCAGCTTATCCTGTTCACTCTACTTGGAATGCTGTTCAGGGGTGCCTGGGTGGCTCGGTTGTTAAGCGTCCATCTCTTGATTTTGGCTCTGGTCACGAACTCACAGTCGTGAGCTCATTCTGTCTTTTGAGCTCTGCAGCGGGGCATGGAGCCTGCTTAAGATGCTTCAGATTCTCCCTCCCCCACTCCCCTGCTCACCCACTTGCTCTTTTTTTCTTGCTCTTTCCTCAAAAAAAAAAAAAAAAAGAAAGAAATCTGTTAGGTTTCTCAGGAATGGCAGATGACTTAGGAATACATTTCTTTTGTACTTGGAGGCCTTGAGTCTCCTATTCCCCACAGGAANAAAAAAAAAAAAAAAAAGAAAGAAAGCAAAGGAATGCTGTTCAGTTTGTTTTTACTTGTTGGAATCCTCTGTTGTTGTTTTTTCTGGGCCCCAATTAATCTTCTGTACATTATGTGAAACTTTCACATACACCTTAACCTAAGTAAGTCTCTGTTTCCTCATTTCCCATAGCAAGATTCATCTACTTGCAATTAAATCTAATTTATCCTGCTTGGAACCCCTCAGCTGTGAGAACAAGTCAAAATGTCTCATGATCTGATCCTTCTTTTTAACCTCATTCCTCTGTTCCCTCTGTCACTCGGCTCTAGCAGTTCCCATAATGCACAGTGCTGTCTCTTGCCTCTATTGCACGAGAAACACAAGAGGGGCATGTCCCATACCACCACTTTCTCTGGATTCTGTGAAGCCTGCTTCAGTCTCTTGTTTATTTTATGCTTTGTGACTCTCAGTGACTGTGCTGACATTCCCCTGTGCTGCATTTGTTGTAGTTCTTACCACACTGTATTGTAACTGACTTTTAAAAACTGCTTTTTATTAAATACTGAATAGTAGAAAATGTAAAAGGTTTGACAAATAACTGAACATCCATATTTAAGAAATAAAATATTAATTATTAAAAACCCATTGAGTTATCCCAGTCCAGTCTCTAGAGGTAACTACTCTAAATTTTGTGTTTATCATTCCCTTACTTTTCTTTACAGTTAAACATATATGTTTGTTTTTATTTTAAATTTGATAATAAATGAAATCATACAGTTTGGAATCTTCTACAGTTTCATTGCCTGTATTCAGGTATATTTAGGAGATTCGTTTATGTTGTGAATTTACTGTGTAACCATCCATTGTGTAAATACATTTTTTTCTTTTATATTACAAACACTATTCCTGTGAACATTTTTTTTTACAAATAGTTTATTGTCAAATTAGTTTCCACATAATCCTGTGAACATTTTTTAACTTGTCTCTTGTGTCATGTGCAAGAATTTCTCTGGGTTTATAACTAAGAACAGAATTCTTTCTTGGGTCCACCTTACTAGACACTTTTCAGTTGCTTTCCAGTGTTTATACCTGTTTTTAAACCCTGTTACTTCATATTCTCATCATTACTTGATATTATTAGACTTTTAAGTTTTTATCTATTTGGCAGGTATGAATTGATACATTATTCTGATTTTAAACTTGCATATTTTTGCACTAAATGAGGTTGAGCCCCCCCATTTTATGGTTTTCTGAAGTACTATTTCATGTCATTTTCTAATTTTTCTATTGAGTTTTATGTTTCCAATTTTTTGTTCCTTTTGGTGCTTTGTCGATATTTCTTAAATATTATAGATTGTCATTGTCATCCTTTGTCAGTTATGTGTGCTATACATACTTTCAATTTGTGGCTTCTAACATTAAATGGCAGTAGAAATTCTCAATTGTAATGCCATCATATTTAACACTGTTTCCTTTGTTTTACTAACTTATTTATGTCTTATTTAAGAAATCTCTTTTCCAGACGCCTGGGTGGCTCAGTCGGTTAAGTGTCTTACTTCAGCTCAGGTTGTAAATTTGCAGTTTGTGAGTTTGAGCCCCGTGTCAGGCTCTGTGCCGGCAGCTCAGAGCCTGGAGCCTGTTTCAGATTCTGTGTCTCCCTCTCTCTCTGCCCCTCTCCTGCTCATGTTCTGTCTGTCTCTGTCTCAAAAATAAATAAACACTAAAAAAAAATTTTTTTTTTAAATCTCTTTTCCTCTCTGAGTAAAGGTACTCTCCCATGTTTTCTATGAATGATACTGTTTTGCCTTTTGTGACTCAGTCTTTAATTCACTTGGGATTGATTTTAAGATATGATATATGGTAAGGGTCCAGTTTCACTTTTTCCATTTGGATAACCAACATCCAACATCATTTATTTGAAAAGCTATCACAAAGGATTAGGCAAACTGCACAGTTTCAGGGAACAGGCCCTACAAGTCTGCCCTCACTTCAGACTCTA